ATTGATGGTTTGCAGCCTTCTTCTCAGAATTGTGTTTTTTAGCAGGCAATGTGAATACAAAATTGGAAAATAGGGGAAAAGCCGATGACACACGTCTACGTTTACTGAAAGCCTCTACACTCTGGATTACAAACTGTTAAATTCCTGCTTTTCAAAAGATATCATGCCACGCTTTCTTACAATACAAGAACCGCGATGATCTCCATAAGGCATTTTTGATAGTGGAGCTACTGAGAGAGGTGTGATTTCTTTTGGCCAGTAAGTCTTGCGTAATTGCGAGTTCGGCTGGCTCTGTCTTTTGGCCAGTAAGTCTTGCGTAATTGCGAGTTCGGCTGGCTCTGATGAACTCCAACTTCCGTATAGAGATCTCCCAATCGGCCGGCCGCGGTTCCTTCTACCTACTTCTCCTCCTTTACCCTTAATCGTTGAATCGTCAAATTTAGTGATTAGGTGACCGTTCGCGGTTAGGTTGAAGACGGATGTTACGCCATCAAGGTTCGCATAGAAGAGCTAAAATAGAGTCTTCTGTAGGTGCCCTCGGTCTCCCGTCTTGTGCTAACTAAGGCAAATATTGTGATTGTATAAATGATTTTGTTCAGCATAACTTTGGCCTCAAATGCTACTTTGGTCTTTTGTTGACGTCTGGGCAAATAAGTTCATATGATTTAGTTTTCAGAGTTCGAAGAAGACGAAAGCGCCGAAACGTTAGTAATTGTTATCAAACTTGGAAGTTCGCTCAGTCAAATCAAGTATGACTATTCACCATGGCGGTGGAAAGCAGTGCCCAGGCAAATTTGGGCGCATGCGTTTTTCGAATGAAAACTGAAGAAGGAGTCCTAATTAAGGCACCGCCCAAACGGCAACGCAAACTATTTTCTCACGGCTGAAAAATTCAACCCCAAAACTCTGCGCTTGCGCCGTGACCGTTCGTGAGTGAATAAGGATGGGTTCTAGCGCGAACGCAGTGCTATTCGGAGCAGAATCAGTGACGGGTTATGGTTACTGCGCAGGGTTTGAAGGTTTTGGAGATGATTTTTTAGCCGTGAATGATGATTTGCGCTACCACTTGGGCAGTGCCTTAGTTGAGACCCCTTATCAGTTCCCACACAAGAAATTTACCTGCCTAAAGTTGCCTGAACACTGCCTTTGAGAGACGGCCGAATGGACATTATTATTGTAGTGTTCTGGTATCACACGGTTTCACCCGCTTCATGGAACACACTGTGTCATTGATTTTTTCATTTTCATTTTCATTTGTACGCTCAAGGCGTTCCATTAAAAAAACACGTCTAGATCTCATCTCTGTCACGAACAATATGCTCACATTTGTTCCATGTTGTTCCTATGTTGTTTTTACCCAGATAAAGGTTTTTACCGAGACATAGTCACTCAAGTTTGAGTTATACTGTCAGAAATCCCGTGTGGCAACAAGTCGAGCTGTGTACTACACCAATAGCATCACTTTATTTCTAGAGCAGGGAATTGAGGGTAAGGGTAAAAGGCAGAAGAGAGAGTAAAGAATGATTTGGGTTACGGGAGGGAGCTTCCCTTCACTGAGTGATTTCGAGATCAGAATTTTTGTCGGACCCTTTTAGAACTATCCTCGAGAAGTGACAGATCCATATTAGCAGTCCCAAAAATGTGCATTGTTTAATCTCGACTAACTTTTTTTTGTTCCAATGTTTTTGCTGTATTATGGGTGACCAATGGAGCTTGTCGCGGATTCGCGAATTCCTTCAAAGGAGGCCGCCGCCGCGCTGCGAAGGGGTCCCGAAACGCTGTCCTCGCGCTGCTCCCGCCTTCCCATCGCTACCGCCGCAGCTTTCAAATCAGTCGTCTATTCCGTTACCTGGTGAGCGGGTGGGTCCCAGTTTCGTCTCCCATGCTATCGATCGATGCAGCGCCGTCCCAGCTCACGCGTTCGACTACATCCAACACGCCGAGGAGGACAGGCAACCCCGCAGACGAGGCAACCCCGTGCGCGCTCGCGCCTGGCACACGCCGGCGACACCGTCACGGGGGGTTTCCGATATTGTCGGCCCCTAGGATAAGATCTGGCTGGTTGTACTCTCCCCTTGTGTTTGAGTTTGGAGATTTGTTGTGGATAAATGGTGGGCATTTTATACGTGTGATTTGTTTGATGCGGTGAGCCACAGCTCGGCTGTGGCTCCGGGGGGATATCTCGTGTCATCTAGTCATTGTGTATTTATAATCATGCCTAGTGGGAAAGATCTGTAGAAGGCAGGCACAATCCTAGTGCCTCGGTTATAAGTACCATGCCCCAACTGTCGATGGTTGGGGGCATGAATCGAGTCGCAGGTGTCGAGTAACTGCTAAGCAGGCTGGTGGCAAGGGCCTCTACGTGTGCATGGAGTGTCCATGTGGCAGGCACAAATAGCATTTTCACAGGTAGCCACCTCACATAATACGTTTCACTCTTTCACGGACCCCTGGCTCCCCTCGCCGATGCAGGAGAGCCGTAACACCACTGACGTTGGGAGCTGGGGGCCCAATCCGCGACAGAGCTGGCTTTTACTCAAATTTGAAGTAGCAAGTGACAGATGCTTTAATATGGTAGGATAACGGTAGGAACGCTGTGGTTAATTCTATGTAAAAAGTATAACGAAACAACTACAAGCTTGAGTAAAGTTTGCACCTCTTTTAAATGTGATTCGTTCATCACATCCTAGCAGCACTGCTAGTAACGAGACATGGGATTGAAACGATTTGTGGATATATTCAAGAATTTCATCACTGAAGGACGTCAATTTTGTTCGTTGGCACTTTTTAAATAAGAAGGCAAATGTGACTAATCGCGATTACTGAAATAGCAAACTATCGAGTGATCAGCCGATCTTCACGCTGAGAGCAATATGTATGTGCAGTTGCACACTAAGTTCTTTAGAAAATCCTCGTAGGTACAAGTCTTATGCAACTTCTTTTTTCTATCCTTGGAAGGCCTAAGGCATACGTACCGCGATCGAGCAAATCGCGACGTCCAGCGAGCTAGCTTTGTAAGTTCTTGCAAACGGATCAAGTTCTGTTCAAACAAAGGACGGTGAGGACCAATTACGAACGGTCGCTTCTGTGCCGATTCGCGCAGCGACGAAAATCGCGTGAGGTATGCCTTAGGCTTAGAGTACACTTTTGCTCAAGTATATGATAGAGCTGTTATCCACCTTATAGATTATCGAGTTCATGGTTGCACTCTCTAGAAATCTAACAAGAGAAGGATACTTACGCCTTCTGAGATGAGACACATACTCAGCTTGGAACGCAGATTCCAAATATGTTGCCTAGCTGCTTAGCATTATTCTGAAGCGAGTTATGGTCTCTTTTCTATGCAAAGTTTGCGTACTCCTCAACCTACTAATGCTATGGTATCGACGTCAGAGTGGTTTTGCAATCGTATAATGCTTTCCTTCAAGTTCGAAAGAATTAATCTAATGCTAGTTTAACATCCTTACACTTTCCTCGAGCATATTCTTATCTACACGCCATTTCACGACATTCAGAAGTTTGTCAATCACTCACAACAGCAAGCCCATAACTCCTTTCAGAATAATGCTAAGCAGCTAGGAACAGCATATTTGGAGTCAGCGTTCAAAGCTAATTCCGAATATACTTGTCTCATCTCAAGATGAGACAAGATGTCTAAGTTAGTATCCTTCCCTTGTAAGTTCTGCACTCAGATCATTGGTTTTAGCATCTACCGAAAGCGATTTGGTGTTTCTATGCCGTCGCACCGTGACTGTCTTGATATTTTTTCAAGAAATAATTTCCCTAACCGATGTTTATGTTTTCTCTTACTATTGTTACTAACTTCTACATAAGCTGCGCCACGTTCCACTAAAATGCTTCTTCAGCTTGTTTTTATTTTCTGGTGATAATGTTTCACCTAATATATTAGCTGCGTGGTATTCGTTGGTTTCAAGTCTCCACTTCATATTGTGTTGGGCGCACTACGTACTATATTGCGCATCAAATAAACAATTATAAATACTTTTCAAAAGCCAAAATGTAGGGATAGGAAGACAGACAATGATAAAAATTTCATTTACAGGCGCCGTATATGACAAGACAAGGAGAAGCTTGCTGGAAGAAATGTAGAGACAGAGACGAGAAACAGAGAGAGTTGGAGTCGCCACAGCGACTATCACATTCGCAATAAAAACGGATGCCATTGTATGGCAGCTAAAAATTATTATGTGCGTAGGGGAGAGAGAGACGGGGGAAGGATTCGATTCTGAAACAAACAGGAAGACGACCATGGCATCTGATATGAATAGACAACATTGGCTAAAGCTCGTCATTGGTAATTCATCAAAGTAGGAGACGCGGGAGGAAGTAGTGGTGGCAAGACTAGACGATGAGAAATCGGTAAGGTATGAGACGCTAACGGCTACGAAGTACAATGGCTAGTGAGTGCTAATCGTTAAGTAGACAAAAGCCGTACATTAAGCTGTACATAATACGGGGCCCTCGAGGATGATGAATGACGAAAAAAATTTAATCGTACAGAATTCTCATGCACACAGGAATGTATAGAAATCGACTAGCAACAGAACAACATCACATAAAATTATACATGTTGAAATGGGGAGCTATGACGATGTGAAAGTGAGGCGAATGGGCCAATCAGCAGCGCGTGCGCGGGCCGCGCCACGCCCATAGGCATGCGATCAGCCAATGGCGCAATGGCTATGCCACACCTCTTGCGCACCACTTCGCTCCACAACTTCACAAAAACTGACTAGCAATTTATGACATAATATATTAATTCACATGAATACGATAGACGATGATTGGGCGTGGTCATGGCCGATAAGGCGCAGAGAATCTTCTAATCAATACATAAGATTTGCACACACGTGAGGCAAGCGCGGAATCTCATGGAGAAGCGGCTCCACAAAACATAAATCGACAAAATCAATAAACAATTGGTAAAGTAATATAATAAACACCTTGCGTACGTGTGGAGTGCGAAAGAAGAAATCAGATCAGTCGATGTGGCATACCAGGTAGAAAGAGACCGAGTCGTTGTCGATCGTTAGTGTGCTGGGGATGGGCAGAGGTGGCTGCATCAGCCTGGCGATCAGAAGCAGCACAGCTGCGTCTGACTCCCCTCTTGGGCAAATTTCCTTGCTACAGATCCAATTCGTGCGCACTAGTACACGAAGTGAGGATTCACAAACGAGAATCCACGGAATTCTTCTTGATTGATCGATCGCACTACAGTCGGATCCGTTGGAGTCAACACCGGCTCCTCTTTGGTGAAATCGGCATCAAAGTTGTTGGCGTCTCGCCTCGACTTCTACAATAAATTGATTAGTCTTGTTGTCAAGATTAACGATATAATTGTCACATCATGGCTCATAAACCTCAATTGTGGGTGTACGATTACCAAAAGTGGAGGAGTATTTTAGGATCAGAGCCTTGCAAAGATTTTTGTTGTATTCCAAGATGTCTCTCGAAAGCAGTGGTTAACGCATACCGCGCCTGGTTAGGTAGACTACCGTATGTGAGGTATAAGCTTGCAAGAAGCTTATGAACCGTTAATAAATACTGGACTCATTCGTCAAACTGAGTCGCGATAATGTTTATGCTGCGTCAGGCGCAATGCCTCTGAGTCGTGGCAATAGGAACAATTCTTTGAAGTACAAGATGTTTTGATCTAGCAGAAGAAACACTATGGCTTGCGATAGATGCATGTTAGGAATTTTTGTGCAATTTTATGCTATGAGTGGCAAATATTGATCACCTAGATATGGTATAATTACGGTAGCAAATCCGCTTAACTCTGGCCCAGTCTCCATCGTCCAAATTACTTGCAGGAAGAAAACACGTAGCATTTAAATGAAAAAGAATTTTTCAAAAAGAAACTTACAATCTTTGGCTTGAATGGCGGTTTAACACGGCGAGCTTCCAACGCATCCCAGTCGATCTCTCGGAAAAATGGATGTGCTCGAATCGCATCTTCACCACCTTGTGATTGTACACAACCTAGTCGTTTCGACGGGTTTTTGGTCATAAACTACAAAAAAATTGTTTTTTGTAGGTGGATGCTAGCATATTTCAGTTACCGCTTTGAGGATGTTGACTGCTTCTTTCGAAAGCCAGACCGGATAAAGAACGTCGTCATTGAGGATAGCCTGAAATTAAGGCCTCAATTTTCCTGTTCTTTAGTTGGCACAAGTCCAAAATGTACAAAGAATGCCTATCCGTGCAAAAAACCAAACCTCAAACAGATCGTCCTCGTTATCGGCTTCAAAAGGCGGTTGACCAGCCATCATTTCATACATTAATACCCCGAGGGCCCACCAATCAACAGATACTCCATATTCTAATTCTTGTAGAATTTCTGGCGCTATGTAATCGGGCGTACCTGAAAGATTAAAAAATTAGAACGGCCTAGTTTTGTATAAAAGTTGGTTGACTCACCACAAAAAGTACTAGTCAGGTTATCCTTGCTAATACCTTCTTTGCACATACCAAAATCGGCTAGCCTACAGTGACCTTCAGCGTCAAGAAGAATGTTGTCCAGTTTGAGATCTCTGCAGAATACGGTATAAGAAACGGCCTACGGTATCTCGGCAGCTACAGTAATCACCTGTAGATGACTTCGTTGCGATGCAGGAATTGTAGAGCACATGTGACTTCAGCAGCATAGAATCGGGCACGTGGCTCATCGAATTTTCTTGCTCGTTGGATTTGGAACATCAAATCGCCTCCGTTTACGTACTCCATGACAAAGAACAGGCGATCCTAAAAATTTCGATTCTTCAATTTTACCTACAAAGAAAAAGGAATGCGTCAGGGTCGCTCTAATCATAATTCACAATTTTAATTTTGCTATTATTGAATTTCCAAAAATAACAAAAAAATATTAAAGACGACATTACAAACAACAGCAAAATTCGATTAAATGATTCGATGAAATTAACAAATTTTTATAGTCTCTAGTCAATGATGTACGAAATAAACAACAAACAATCCAATCATTGAGAAAGGATTTTAGCTGCCACTATTTGCAATAAAAATTAGCACAACGGTTTTCCTGGAAAGTAAATAATCGGAACAAACTGAATCAAAAGAGAAATGAGACGGAGCCCTTGAAAACATGCTGCTCAAATAAGTATTTTTAACGACTGACGAATGACGCTGAAGCGATTTCGCAAAAAATCTCTACACAATATTAAGTGATATCTTTGGCACTGAAAGTTGCTAACTGTATGGAATGGTTATACTGAAATTTTTCCTGGTTCTATTTCCAATAAAAACGATTTCCTAGTTTTTTTCTAATTCCATTCAAATAAAAAAAATAAATTAAATAAAAAATTCAACTTACCGCGGTTTGGAAGCTGCTGTGCAGAGCAGTGAGGAACGGATGTTTGGCTGCTAAGCTGAGGATTCGCTTTTCACACATTGTACACTCCACATCGTCGTCTTGGACTATCACATCTTTCTTCAGGATTTTTACAGCATACACTTCATCAGAACCTTTCTTCTCAGCCAGCATCACCTGTAAGACAGTTTTCGATTGGTAGAATTGAACAAGCATATAAATCCGCAAAAAAACACCAGAAAAATAGATGAAAAATTGCGTTGTGAGAGGTCACTGACCTTTCCGAATGATCCTTTACCAAGCACTTTGATGAAAGAGAAATCCGAAATTGACATTGTGCTTCCGTCACCGGGGCTTTTTGGTGATTTCACTGCCGGTTCTTCTTCAGAGATTTGTTGCAAGTATTGTGCTGAAAAAATAGTGCTTTAAAGTCTGTAGACGCGACGAAAAAGAAAGCTGACATTGACCAGAATCTGATGTACTTGTAGTGCTTATGCTGGTCGTATCCGTATTGGAGTCTGTCATGATCGATGGCTGAAAGTGAGAATGAGCTTTAAAAAATCAGAATGGGCATGAAAGAGAGATAAGGTAAAAAAGAACCGGTCAACTTCTGATGACAACTAGTCCTCAGAAAGCAGTTATGTAGCCGAATTAAAAGTTTCTTAGCGAGAATTGGTCCCCAAAAAACAGACATGTGAAAGTTTTGCTGATGGATAAATGGTCGACGTTCGAAGTTTCACGACTTATAAGCAAGTTATACAAGTTGTTCGCTTCCAATTAAAAAAAAATCGCATGCCGTGCCATCCGGGGACCGCTTCTCGCCTATCAGAATTCAACCCTCATTGCACAGAAATCCTTCAACTTTCTATAGTTATTCCATTATTCGTTTGTTTATTTACTTGTTTGTTTGTTTACTTACTGATCTGTATTCATTTGTTCGTTCATGATAAAAAAAGCGGAAAAATATGAATTATATCAATACAAAAATTAAACATTTGGAGGCAGTAAAAAATGGAAGATTTTCTTCTCGAACATTGCTATAAATTTCGGCTGAGTATAGATTTTCAAAATCAGTAGTTGCTCATACAAAACAAGATCAAAGTGATTTTCTATGATGTTATAAACTCCGGCGATGAAATTTGTAAAACAAAAATCTACTAGGTAATTGTATGGACCGAATAAATATGTCACGAGATTTTGTAACGCTATAAAAAACCAAATATTTCCGCAGAGGATTACTGTAACGCGCGCCGCACCTCATATCCCGCCGCGAAGGATTACGGTAGTATACTGTAGCAGTACAAAAGTGCAGTATCCTTCTCCTGCGCCAGAAACACAAACTTGATAACTCTCACCTTCTTTTTGCTGCGTACACTCATTTTGTCGCCGGTCAAGCCAAGTTGTGCCAGTTCAGCTGCCATTTGTTTTGCATTGATACCACAGTTGTTGGCGACGTTCCGTTGACATCTGCAACAGAAGATTTTACAAATTTTCGAGATCGAAGCAAAAATTATTACGGAACTGACCGTTTATGCACGTTCAGCTTACATACGGAACATTGAAGACCCTGATTAATGAGCCCGTATAGCATCGAACCGCAATGATCGCAAAATGTTGGACGTTTATACGAGTGTACGGAGAAACGATGAGGCATATTGATGTTGAATCGGCCCATTCCCGTCTGCAAATCAGTCTATATAGGTATGGATTGTGGATATTGTAAAGAAGGTCAGGTTAAGTACAAAAAAAGCGATTTTTCATGATAAAAAAAATCAATTCTGCATAAAGTCCGCGTCCGCACGTTTTCGAGTTGAAGCTATACGAATCAAATCGAAAAATGCTTAGAATTTTACCGAACAACAAAAATTGTTCAATGTGACCAACATTCTGTGTCCCAAATAAGAGGGATAGGGAAGCAATGAAAATAAAAAAATTAAAAAAGACGGTGAACATGGGAGAGTAAAGAAATGACCTCCTACTCAAACTGCTTACCTCGTTCAGATTTGGGTAGTCACTAATCTAAACAGTGGCAGATACTTTTTTTAGATATTGAAAAAAAATTTCATAGAACTTCCAATTAGCTTAGATTGTATGTTACGGAACAGTATGTAAATTACTTTTGGTAAGCTTTCGAGGGACAAACTTAGAAACCTACAATTACCAGCTCGTTTACGCCCAATATGATTACCGTAACCATATAATCGCTGACGTAAAAGAGAACAATGTCAACATCGATATATTTACTTACGAAATAATAAGAGAGAAAATCAGATTATGTTGCGCATACGGGTTACTCTTATTAAGCGACAAATACGGGGTTTTCCAAAAAATATGTAGACATTGAAAATTTGCAGTAGGAATTCCGAAAGCATTTGACTGCCACAAATCGATCTGAGAAACTTCGCGAAGGTCTTTTTTTGCTCGACGACAATTATTTTGTCGGTCAAAATCAATGGTCATTGTATAAGTTAAGTTAGCCTTTGCATGCCACAACTTCTTTTTATCGATAATTGCCCCATTTTATACTTTGAAATTGGCCCAAGCATGGTAATCAAAGGGACGGGTGAGCCGTAAGTCATATTCAGACCATTTCAAAAATCAGAGAGTGAGAAAGAGGATAAAAAAGTAGGTTCAAAGGAAAGATGAGCTATTATATCAAAAAAATGAGGTGTCCGAATTTTGAAACGTTTGGTGAGTTTTCGGCTATGACAGGGCTTTCGAAGTAATTTTATAAACATTTTTGAGGGGCAATTACTTTGTAGCAATTATGATAAACAGATATATAAAAAAAGAAGCGCTACAAGGTTCAAACCACTCGCAACTGTTTTTTTCTAAAGGTGGGAGGGGGAGGGGGGGGGGGGGAAGCGATAAATCTTGCATATGAAAGGATGTTGCATTGACAGCGAATTTCCTACTCCATTAAACTGGCAGAAGATTTATAGCGACAGCTAGTTTGAAAAAAGATAAGATTTTACAAAGGTTGCGAAATATTGAAGAATTCAACAAATTTTACACAAATTTTTTGTTCTATATTTTTTACTGAAGCGCCTAACGAATGTGATTAGTAAAAACATATGCTAAATCTGATAGGATTAATGCTTATTTGGCAACCAAAATTCCTAGAAAATTATTCTAATTACGTACAAAAACAATGTCCAACCCCAACCCCTTGAAATTTTCTCCTATGGTATGAATCAGGTTGTTTAAGGACAAACTGCAACTACAGCAAAGAAAATGGCTATTCATTTTTAGCTGACTAAATATTTAGACTGGTGCAAGCGAATTTTGTCGGTTTTCATAAAAATTTAATTGACGTCATTTGCGTCACAATTCTAGACGGTTGCTTTTGCACTCAATAAAGTGTGACGTGTTTAATGGGTGGACTATTCTGCAGAGCAGTTAGATTTAACCAAATTTGGAATTCGAGCCAATTGATAAAAATAGTAAAAACTCATTTTTTCAAGGCTTCTTTAGATCTGTGACAGTAAGCAATGGACAGATAATGACAAAAATTTCATGAGAACATCACTCAGAATCTAAAGTGAAAGAGTCATGAGCCAATTTGGTTCAATTCATCAAGTTTCAAGACGGTACTTGGCTATCTTTGTAGCATTCAATTGTATAATTGCGCATTGCCTATCGGAGATATCAATAAATAAATAAATGATATAAATAAATAATTAAATAAATAATTAAGTAAATAAATATTTAAGCTACACCCGCCAAATTTCAAGCCTTTCTTGTTTCCCGAGAAGCTTGCGAGAAGACTCGAAATTATAATCTTGGCGATTCTAGTAAATTCGTAGATCAAAAAGCAAAAATGTGTTCCTATACGGTTTGGCTTACTTTATGGCATTTTCTTGTTTGATTGTATCGCTTTTCAACGTTGTGGCGATAAAGAAATAAATAAATAAATGTAAGTAATAAGTAAATTAATAAATAACATTCGTTGAAGTAAAGAAAGAAAACAGAGCTTACAAATCACTTTTTTGCCAATCAGTTGTAGAGGGAATACATCGTTGAAAGAAGAAAAATTCACTTCGACAAGATAATGCTTAGAATCAAAGATCACGAGAAAATGCATACTTATGAACAACGAAAATATTCTGTCTACGTTTGTTTACTTTTTCGTTTCTTTTTACTCTAAATTAATGTTACTCTACCTCATTCATGCTGTCTTTCTTGACTATTCGAAGCCAGTGGGTATATAAAATGAATTATAAAACAAACATGTGATTAAAGATATTATCTCTCACCTCGGTCACTTCTTTGTTGATTTCCTCGACAGCATCGGCTTTATTGCCTGGACATTTCCACACTACCTCTTCATGACATCGTTTATGTACGACAACAGTACAGACTGAATTGTTTCCATGAATTCCGGCCAACATTACGTCGGTCGGTACGAACTATGCGCAATTCGCAGCAGCACATTTTCCCCGGTTATTATTGAGATTAACTCACTTTGACACTGATATCCTTGTTTGCCGATACCCCAGATGAATTCTTTACAATGAGCGCAAAATGTCGGTTGACGGAGAAACAGCGCCATGAATTTATGACCGGTAACCTAGAAACAGGAAATTTTTCGTTTTTTTTGTCTGTGGTGTCGTCAATTCCAGTGCATACTTCATGGATCTTTCTTCGCATTGCACCACGGCGTTGCCGATCGTTGAACGCGCCAGTTCGCTCCTTGAATACTCGCTCTTTGTTGACATGGTGCGATTCTGAAACAGGAATTTCTTTTTCATTTCTTGGGAATTGATGGATTTGCAGATTATCACACACATTTGAATGATGGGAAAGAAAGGGAAGCATTGTGAAAAACACCATTGTGATATAATATAATTGTTTGATTCGCGCTATATACTAAGTTCACTCCTTTCAATCTAAAAATATTTTTTTTGCAGAAAAAATTAGCTTATATGCTTAGAATCGCTGATGATGATTCATTCCCTCAAGTTCGCTCATAAGTCTATCAATCATTATGTTATATTTCTCCAGAAAATTATTCAACTCTCTCTTAAAATTCACGTCAAGCATCTAATGAGCGCGGGAGTATTCTATTCGCTAAAAGCTTGCATGTCCAGTTTGTAGTTATTTGCCCTCTTTATTAGTACCCCTAGCTTTTCTTTCTACCTGATTTTTGGTGGACTCAAATTATACTAAAGACGGGACTGGTCTCATCAAGTATGAATAAAGTTTACTATGCAGACTGACGATGAATTGACTCAGGTAAAGCACTACTCAATTACAAAGCAAATACATTCTTTGAGTGATCATCGATTTGAGCCCCACACTTTTTATCAGAAGTAATCAATATTCCCTCAATAATGATTGCTCCATAGCACAGAGCTAAACGCTTATCCTTGTACAACTAAACTGGGCAGATTTGACAAAAAATCAAGAGCTGTTAATAATTAACAGCTTAATAACCATAAAAGCTCACAATCCTTTCTTGGTGTTAGTCACCGGAAAAGCCTGTAGATCCTTTTCGCTATTCTATGGGAACAAACAAAATGAAGTCAAAATACGCTTTGATTTATTCACTAAGGTGAGTAGTAAAAATAATGATAATAGATGCTTTTTTACTATCAAATATGTAGCCTCCTTTATCCCTTACCCTTACCCATTTCTGTACGCACTTACAGTGCATTCTGTTGTATCAAGTAGAAGATTAAGGAATCGACTGGGAGCTGTTCAAACTTTCACCGAGAATTTTGAACAAAATTTTCTTATCAAGGTGTTCCTTATTATGGAAAAAAATGCCCTTTGCCGATAGCGGTTTGAAGGCAATTGAGTGACTCATAAATTACCAAACTGATAAATGGATTTGCATCGTCTGCCCACTCCATGATTTTGATTTCTACATCTTACACCAGCAAACACTATTAAAGGACCAGAAGCATTAGCGATATGTCATAATGCGAAAAATATGCTAGACAGCTGGAATCCATCTGTTCGTCATTATGTTCTTTATCTTGAGACTGGGCGGCACCAGGCCGCACATCTGAATCTGTATATACTAATAAGCAAACTCTTAGATAATTTTTCCTGTAAATTCTGGCAGATATGAAAGTTATTTATTAATTCTGTGAGAAGGTTTTCTTAAAGTTCTATTTTAGGGAAGATGACATTTGATTATGCGGAATTTTTTGAATTTATCGATAATAAAAAGGATTTCTTATTCAACGAACTACTCCCTCAGTTTCTCCTGCCACTGAATTTTTAGAAAAAAAAATGCACCCCCTTTGCTAGTAATCAATGCCCTTGGATTGACTGCAATTTTCTGTGATTGGTTACTCATTTTTATCTAATATCGTCATTCCGTAATCTTCTCAACAAAATGGAAGAAAAGTTTTTTCTTTGCCTTCGACCAATGTGACATTTTCAAGTAACAGCCACCGTGTTTTGCAAAATGGTTAATCATACCCTCCCATCTCCAGCCCATCCCTTTCTTCATCATTATACGTCAATATAAACGATGATTCAGAACGATGAAGAGACTAGAGCAATGCTAATGTATCAATCGCTGCTATGGGGCGCTGGTGTTTGCCGAGATTCATGAATTATTCATGCTTTTCCTATACAAAATCATTCGAAGCTTGGGAATTTCCCCATTTCCAAGCCGGCTGTGCCATTAATTGTCCAGAATTTCCGCAGCTCCACAGATTTTCCTATCACTTCCGGGTGACTTAGCACTTAGCGACTCAACTCCGCCAGTTAATGAGCACACTTCGATCGCTGAACCTTCTCTCCCCCTCCCTCCCCCACATTCCCCTCTAACCCTCCCCCTCCCCCCCCCCCCCCCCTCCCTCTCTTTAGCCACCAAAATCAATAGCAGCATAACTATGAAGCGTGTTAATCGCACAAATTATAGGGGACGAGGGGTGAGGGGTACGGGGGCGGATTACGGAGATCTCACCATCGCAACCGCGGTTAATGACATCTCCATTGCGATCCATAAACTCACACCTTTTCGCATACCAAGCTATTTTTACCCCAAAAAATTCTCGAAGAGGCGTTTTCAAGGCGTTCCAAGGAAAAAAAGTGCTCCTAACACCATATACGTCCCATCCCAAGCCACTTATCACTTCTCGCCTTTTCGCCAGAATCGATAGCCCTTGTTCAAATAACCGGCGCGTCTTATGGAAACATTTGCATTAAGACGACACTGTAGACGGTTTATGAGACGAAACATGGGAAAGTGCACATTTAGTCAAACAATCATTCATTTTCATTCGCCTCTCGTCCAAAGTATAGTTCTATAGCTTTAAATTTTCAAAAAATCTCAAAATTTTGCCCGTAAAGTCCACAATTTCATAATTGATTTACACTTGTTTATCTTGACCATTTAGTTTGAACTTCCTAGAAAATAACCAGATCAAAAAATTGCTTTGGAACTCGTTTCATCATTGAGGATTTTTGCAGTATAGCTGTATCTCATTTAAATGTAACAGATTCCAAAAAATCTGTACTTTACTCGAGAGTTGCCCTTACGCAAAAAAGTTATCATGAGACCACATAGCATTAGATTATTTATCATAATTGCCAAAGACGATTTACGTCATAAGAAAGGAGGGGACGAGGGGCGTTCTTTAACGAATGATAAGTTCAGTACATTCTCAGCCTCCCCTGAATGGGCAAAGTCTGGTTCCAATCCAAGCCCCATTAGTCAGACTTTTTTCAAGCTCTTTTATTGCCAAAGATTTTCCAACATTCTCTCTCGCTATTGCAAACCGTATGCATCAATCGACTGTCGTTCTGATAGAACTCTCGTAATTTTTTTACGCTTTCACTTATAAAGAAATGTAAACTTTTTCAGAGTTTTACTCAAAAAGAGTTATAAATTTTCGCAGAAGCAATGTGGATTTCTTTTTCTTTGCGAAGAAGGAAAACGAAGTCGTTCTGAAATAGAAAGACCATCTTCCACATCATGGTCAACCAAAAAAATGACTGATAGAAATGGAAAGTTCCAACCAAAATGACAAGCCGCAAAGCTCTCAAAAAAATTGTTGGGGAACTGGTTACCAGATACGACCGGGTTACTAAGAGACTCTGCTTTCCGTCAGCTATAAAAAGCGGACTAGGGAGTTTGAAACTACCTGCGCAATAGTCGCTTCTAAATGTCAATATCATAATTGTAAAAAACTCGATAAGAAAGTGTGCAATTTTTTTCAACACGTTTGACCAAACTGATCATGACGAACAAGTAGTCCTCCATCATTTCGAAATTTTTCGCTCAAAAAACGGTCTTTCCTTCTCCTTCCGAAACCGTTTTGCATTTCTCCTCCCTGCTTATCTTTCGTTCTCACTCTTATATATAAATCACTGTTTCGAATTTCATATGTATACTTTTCGATCCTTTTCATATTTTCCGCACAACTTCGCGCTTTTTTTACATTTATACATGACTGTTGTCATTCATTTGGAGTAGGAAACTGTATTAGATACGCATTGCATACGCAGTCCCAACAAGCTTGATCGTTGGTTAACAAGTTTATGCTTGTAATCTCGCTTATTTGGGACTATTTATTACTTGGAAAAAGTGATGAACAAGTTCGAGCCTGTTTAATGCGCGCAAAGCGTTTTCGAGTCTTCTAGTCCCAGAACAGACTATACCCGCAAAGACAGAATTATTTGTTATTGCTTATTCCATACCATACCGAATGGGATTCTTGTTAACTGTTAGGTGAAACGAATCTAATAGCACTTTGCAATATGTTGTTGAAAAAGTCGCTGACAGATTCTAATCCGTACAGAAAACTATTGGCAAGCATTTGCTTCTCGAAAAATTTTTTTGTTATCGTTATGAATCAGCGGATGTTATCGACAGTAAACACTGCGAAATGACACATTTTGTGATGATAAGCTTTTAGTGGCATCCCGCCTGGAAAGAACTTTCTCCAACGTTTCTCTATGCGATGAAATGGTCACGTAGACAGCGACTGCTGCTTCTTGCTCTGGCCCTATTAGGATCTATTGTTATATTTGAAAGCTATCGGAGAAATAATGCATCCAGACCGAGGAGACCTCATGGAAATCAAAAAGTAAGTTTTAGTTCATGACAAAATGAAATTTTGAATCGATGAAAATTGATAATGCGTATTTTTTTACTTCTCAGTGCAAGCAAAAACCTATTCATTCATCGGAACTTTACTTTATGATTTTTTGGGATTTTCACGTCTTTTTTTCTCCCATTCCGAACGTTTATACCAAAAAAAAATTCGGTGAATGAGCCATATGATTTTTATGATTTTGAAAATGCTGAAACCATTTCAGGGATGCCAACTTCCGCACCCGAACCCCTACGATCCAAGCATTCTCGAGTACATTTTCAAACCACCACGTCTAGAATGTTCAGGACTTCAATACGAGCTCACTTATCTCACGGATGATGTATGTCAAATTTTTGTCACAAACTGAATTTCAAACTCTCTAAATTTTTCAAAAAATTTTGCAGGAATTTCTTCACCTAAATAAGACTGCTATCGAGAAGTCTGGTACAGCAGTGACTTGCTTTTATCGATGCTTTGATCGTGTTGATGGAGACGATTTTCAGTTGAAATATGGCGAATGGATTGAAATTAGCGTAAGTGTAGCCAGTATCTCCGTTTTTGGAGATAGACATTCCAACAATTGATGGATATGACCTTTGTACCCGAATTTGAACAAAAATTAAAATTTTCTATAAACAAGTAGAAACGCCAATTTCTTGTAATAGCACTTGTGATGAAACAATTAGACAAACTTGAATATTCAATCTGCAATTAAGCCTAGTCAAGTGACCAGAGATTGAAGAAAAGAATTAACTCATAGGTGAAATGTGAAATGCCTCAAGGGATAGAGGACGACATGTTAGCAAAAGGCTCAACCGCGCGGACAACTGATGCAAATGTGTGCAGCTTGAAATTGCATACATTGTTGCAGATGTCCGCGCAGAGGCTCCCCTTTCGGCAACATAACGTCCACTACGCTGTTATATGAGGCAAATAATCAAAAAAATCACATGATTTTCAGGCTCCAGTGAAACCCGGATGTGAATTTGTTGAGACCTACTGCAAGAAATCCAGCTTCCCCGGAACTACTGTATACCACAATAACCATAACCAAATACTTGAGAAAAGCAAAAGGGCTACAGGAGCATCCAGTCAAAAAAGTGTCATCCTACTCGTAATCGATTCAGTTTCACACTCGAATTTCATTAGAAATCTACCAAAAAGTCTGGAGGTGGGTTGATTCCTAAGGTGACGCCCTTTTGCACTTCTACAGTATGCTACCGTACTCAACAGCGACAGCGCAGCAGGAAGAGTAACAATTATTGCGGACTATTGATCCTTTTGCGCATGTTTTTAAGTAGCATTTGGGGACCAGTTGTCATCGAATGCGGAGCCTATTGAAGTTATTCGTTTTCTCATCTTGCCTATACTGCCTGTAAGGGCGAGCTGTACGGTAGCCTACGACGTGTGGTGCCAAAGTGCCCACAACTGATTCCAAATTGGTTTTGTTGGTTTAGGTTCTCAATAGCTTATACAAATCGTATATTTTCGAAGGGATGAACAAAGTTGGAGACAATTCCTATCCAAATGCTATCGCTTTTCTTGCTGGTAAAGTATGCATTTTTTTTTGAAAACAAAACTCATTTCAAATTTTAGCAAAAACTAGGGAAGAGTTCGGCGATGCTGGCGGATATTTTGATGATCGACCCTTGATATGGAAAGATTTTACGAAAGCGGTAAGGTGCTATACCAGATTTATGTGTTAAATATTTGAAGATATTTTAGGGTTATAAAACTTTGTATGCAGAAGATTATGTTGATTTTAATCTGTTTACCTATCTTGCCAAAGGATTCCGTACTAAACCGACAGATCACTACCTCAGGTAAGATGTAGTTGCTAGGCTGGATCCCGTACCCAAAATACGAAAAATGCAAGTTACGTTGCCCGGAGGTTGGAGGCGTTACTGTAATCAATTCCATATAGGATCCTCGCTTTACTTCGAGGCCTTGAACTACTGGTTTAGGCCTTTCTTTCTGAACGTCTATGGCAGCTACTTACAAAGAAGAAGTAAATTCCTTTGTTATGGAAATCAAGCCATTCACAATATTGAATTCAATTATTTATCACAGTTTTTGAGAAAAAACAAAGGTGAATGACTTATTTTGAGCTCGGAGGGTCTAGCAAAGTTTCTTTGTTCTAGATTCGCCAAAATTTGCCCTAAGTTGGTTTAACGAAATAGGTCACGAGTATCTGAATACAGTCAACGTTGCGGATAAGGATCTAGCAAAGTTTCTTCGAACACACTATGATGATCTCAAGGTGAGCAGGGGCTTAAACAATTTCAGTAAATGCGGAATTAGTTGTAACATTTTATTTGTCATTTTAAGTGTAAAAATATCAAATTTTCTGGCAATTCCAGAGTGTTGTTGTCTTTTCGACCATTATTTTTAGGAGTCCTTCTTTTTCTTGTTCTCTGACCATGGCCACAGATTCGACCCCATTCGCCAAACTCCTATTGGACGGATAGAAGAGGGTTTTCCCTTCTTCTCCATGCATGTACCAAACAGTCTCCAAAAAGAACTTCCAGGATTAGACAAGGTTATTCGAGGAAATACCAAGGTAAATTTTGCATGTTCTAATTGCTGGTGTGAGTAGTTTTACAGCTGAAGGACTTTGCTAGCTATGCTGTCATACCCGAAAAACTATGAGGAAAATAAGAAATTACAAGGCAGTATCAATCTCAAAAATGTTCAAGAAAGTACCACCAGATCTAAGCCTTCAACACCTTCCAATCTTTTTATAGTCTTGCACACACCAAAAAGAATTCAATCTACAAATTGGCTTTGTATTCTGATGACTTTTTGGTTTTCCAGGTCCTCACAGTGTTCTGGGACCTCTTCGTGACTATGCGAGATATTCTCGATCTGGGAAAGTCTGACAGCTGGAAGGAACTGAATGCTCAGCAGTCTGGCGGCAGATGGAAGCATAATTACTTAACCAGAGGTGGAAGTCTGCTGAGGCCGATTAGGGTAAGAAATTGTTCAATTATTCTTTAGGGAGATTTTTGCAAAAAAAGGAAAAAATTGTTGGATACTTTTGATGAAAAATACAAAATTTCCAAGCTCCTATGCCCGTAACCTTTATGAAAGTAGGATTTTGGGAATAACTTGTCAGGAAAACGCCATTTCTTCTGATTTCTGGCAATTCGACCAATCACAGACTGATGCGCGGGCGTAATTACAGTACCAACGAATCACAAACTGAGACGTGGGCGTGCTTACAGTACCGACCAATCACAGGCTGAAGTGGGCACGTATTCACAAAAACGCCGTTTTTTCGGTTTTTGACAACTGACCAATCAAAGATTGAAGTATGAACGTAGATTACAGTACGAGCGAATTACAGACTTATGTGTGAGAGTAATTACAGTACCAACCAATCACAGAAGAGTGATGTGTGGGCGTAATCACAATATCCCAATGGCAGACTGATATGGGGGTGACGAGAAAAGGCTTTTTTTGGATTTTGGCATTCAAACAATCACAAAATGACTTGTGTGCGTAATTACAATATCAACCAATGACAGACCGATGTGTGGGCGTAGTTACAGTACCACCAATCACACTACAAAGTTTTAGGACCGCAACTGCAAGGAAGCAGAAGTTCCAGAAGAATATTGCATGTGTTATTATGAAAGCCCAGTGGATGTCAGCAGCAAACTGGTAGGTCATAATTTTGACACAATTTTTTCGCCAATCGATATATTGATCTTTCAGATCTCACAAATTGGCAACGCGCTCATCAAACATCTTAATCGTCTACTTAGTCCATATAAGCAGTGTGCGGTTTTAGAAATGTCTCGAATTCATCATGCATCAAGAATCGAGGACGAGTTGTCCGATGATGGGACGAGATACCGACTTACAGTGGAAGCAAAACCTTCGAGGGGGATTTTTGAGGGCGTGATCAAGTACAACGAAAAGAGCAATACTTCATCAGTACATGGAAATGTGAATCGGGTGAACTCGTACGGAAATCAATCGATATGCTTGAAAGAGGCCGAGCTGCGCAAATTTTGCTATTGCATCGTGGCAAGGGCATAGTTCTGCCCCTTCTCTCCATCCTTCCCCCTTTCTTCTAGCTCCAAATGCCAGGACAATGACGTAAAAGGAAGCGAATCCAACAAAATCGCACAAATTGTCAGACTTTCAAAGCGGGGCACTAAGAACGACTAAACGACTGCCTTCACTCAATCTTTCAGGAAGAAAATAAAAGAACAAAAGGAATGACTAATAAGTTCGATAGCAAAAAATACTACCTTCTACGGCTTGGCCGTGCAGTTCAATTACCACGTGCAGTTGTCCATGCGGTTCGAGGTCCACCTAAAATAAAGAAATTCTTCCTTTATTCTTATGCTTCTGCTAATCACAAAAAATACTTTTTTCTTGCCATGCTTGCGGATGTTGCGAATGGAGAGAAATAATTTTTTATTGCTTACACGTGAGACCGTCATTAAACAAACCGCCTCAGAATGCCGCAGGTCGAAAAAAGAGCATTGTCAATAGATCATTGATACTCATTTGATAAGGGTCAATTATTGAACTGTGGAAAAATTCTCCGGTTTCCTTTCTCATTGTGTTGTTACGGAGTTCCTTCACTTTTTGCAATATTATTACTTGCCGAGTTGTGTTGATTACGATTTCTTCAATAAATAACTATGATGAATTTGGTATCATGCAAATAGTAATAAGATCAGTAAACTGAATGATTTACATGGCAAAGAGAAAAGTGGTCCGCTTGAGATCAAAACAACATTTTATATAACGGTGTGTTTTAGTTGAAACGGTTGTCTATCTATGTATAGGTACGATAAGATTACTGTATAAAACTGTTCCAATCCATGGAAATGTATGTTATCCTAAAATAATTTTTATTTTCAAGAATTTCAAAATGTCTCGAAATTGCTCTTAATTTCTTGGATGTTTTCAAATGGAGAAAGAGAGTTATCTCAGGTTGTTAACTATATCAACATCTTGTAAAGCTTTGAGACAGAAACTTCGAAAATCAAGCAATATTTGGTAAGTACACGCCCAAATGATATGGAGAGGATGGACTCAAGGAAAGACAAAATTGGAGCTTATTTCCGATTTCATCATTAATAGTGTAAAGGCAAGATTGATAAATCAGTCAAAAGTGTAAGAATGGTATAGTATCACCCAAAAGTCACAAATTTGAGAAAAGCAGCCGCGGGAAGTGAAAGGTAGACGCTATCGCAACAAAGAATATCAAGGGACTACATATTGATTGATAAAAACTATGATCGATTTCGTAAGAAAAACGGACATCAGCATTGTAATCAAACATTTTTCAACTTATTTCGCATTTTTCAGATTAATGCGGTCAAGCATATCAGAATCATGAAAACAAAAAATTCGGGTAGACTCAGTCATTGTAGGACCAAAACCTTGAAATTGTACTCACCCAGATATCATTATTGCTTCCTATTTTGAGATCGTCAAATGTTATCCTAGTATTAGCGACAAAATCATCCGGTGGCATCACACAGCTGTGGAATACGGTGAAACCAATCGCTTTTCCAGAATGTACATCATTCTGAAACCAAATAATTGACTTTTACAAAAATCCCATAACTAATGATTTTCGGATTTATTCCAACTTTGGCAATCACTTCAACACTATAAAATTTTCATGAACCGTTGAAAGTCTTTAATGTACCGATAAGAGGAGTTAATTCAAGATAGGAGAGTAGACGAACCGCGACGAATTCCTCGTTCCAGCGTGGTTCGTTGGTTTTCGGTCGAACCAACGTCTTTCCAACGTGATATTCATCCCAATCCACATTTACATATGCATCTATCGCTGCCTGGAAATGAGTGAGATACAGTAAAGTGCAAGAATTTAATCAATGGAACCATTGCAAAGTGCACAATATGTGAAATGAAGAATGGTTCGAATGACTAGAAACTTTAATGAAAATGACGACATATAGATATCATTGTAATAGCCTCATCTATTCGGAGACACAAAATTAATACGCCGCATCTAGTTACTTGAAAATCGTTGACTTTCAATTCCACATAATTAATTCATGAGATAATTTGTACGTGATATAATTTGACGAGAAAAAACGAGAAGTTTGTTTACCAAACCCCTGATTTTGTAAATAAACCAAAAAGCTTTATCAGCCGACCATGTGTTGGGCATAAGTTCAGTAAAGCACATCATGAAAATGTGACAGACATTTTATAAAGCGGTTTTAATTTTTTCCAATCGAAAGGCTAAGTAAATGCAGCAGCGCCTAGAGTCTACACAGAAAAAATAAGATTTAGAAATTTAAAAAAAAGAAACTCGAATTTGGGTAATTTATACAAGTGCAGAAGAAAAAAAACCTATTTGAGTTAATATAAGCGGTTCGCAACGGGAATGCATTTGCAGATCTGCAAAAGCACATTGCGTTCGGGGGGAATCGAACCCCCGTCGAATGCTTGGAAGGCATCCATGCTAACCATTACACCACGAACGCGTGGTGCGATCTTCTCAACAACTTTGGAAAACGGTGGAAACAACAGAGAATGTTTACTGATAAAGTTTGCTGACTTTGAAATGAGATACTTGTAGGAAGTACCTTGCCTTAGCTGTGCTGCAAATAGCCAAAACGCTAGCTGATTCTAAGAGTTCTAATTTGACACACAACTATAATAGTTAGTCAGGATATTTTGCATGTCTTTAGAGGCCTATAGTGTGTCCCAAAATAATGTATCGAATGTAGAACTTTTCAAACGGAAAGGTCATGCAAATATCATTTCGTGCTTGTGTTCAAATCATACGAGTAGGAGTTTGCCCTATAAATCAACAGTGCGGATTGAGCGAGTTGCTCTACAAAAATAATAAAGGGCGCATGTTAGCAGAATATTGGCCACGGTCATCCACTGTAGTGAATGTCGTTGCGAGAATTCTTTGTTCTTCTTAACCCATCAAAGCCAAGAATGTATTGCTTCTCTTTGAAGTTAATATGGCAGTTGTAAAAATCACCAACGCTTTCCATCTACTGCTTTTGTTAGCATTCGTCTCTGGAGTGTTTTGTGGTTTTCAAGAGAACTTATATATTAGATAGATGGACCAAACTCTCAAGATTACGTACTTAAAACAAAAAATCATGAGAAGCTATCTAAACTTGTCTTTACATTACATTTCAATCAAAGCAGGACCTCTTAAAAAGTTAATGGTCCACTCCTGATATACTTTTCTTGAGTTTCCACAAACTGTTTGAAGAGTAATCTACTTTTGAATCAACTGTGTTGGCGGCTGGAAGGCAGGACTTCGTGACCTATTAAGGCTAGAGCCGCCAAACCTGTTGGATCAAAGGTTAAATGTAACAGCCAATTTCAGCGATCATTTGGATGCAAAACGGTTAGCATCAATCTCAAAAATCTAGAAGATTGATTGTTTCGAACAAAACGAAAATTTGCAGAATTTTTGTTCTAGCAGTCAGAAATACGTTGATAGAGTGCGATCGTTATTTGATCTTGCTAGCTGGATTACTTTGAAGGCAAATGGGATGCAGCTGTTGAATTATATATCAAATTGCAGGTGAAGAGATAAGTACTGCTACATTCATACTATCTGCTCAAATGCACTACGCAGCAGCAGTAAAGTAAACATTTATATAAAAGTATAGCATGTGTGCTGATGCCAGTCACTATGAACGGTTACCTCCTGCTTGTTGTAATTCAGGTATGTTTGACTGAATTCCAGTTGTGGAAAAAAGTTTCTCAAAGCATTCTTCTACGATTGTGGGATGTTCTACGCATATTATACATAATGCAATGTTAGAAGTACAAGTAACATCATGCCAGTGGCAAATCCGAGATTCCCTTTCGGGGGGGGGGGAACAAAAATTTTTTTCTGATGAAATTTGTAGGATTTCTGACGGCTTCCTAAAATCTTGCGGGCTCATAGCCTCAAACCAGAAAAAATTTTTCCATAGGGCTAAAAGGAATTTTCTAATGTTTTACAAAAATTATTTCGATTCATTACAAGTATAAGCAAGTCGCTTACACATTTTTATAAATAGTTTTGACTTTTTGCAATCTTCAATTAAGATAGATCTTGTAATCATCATTCTAGGGGACGAATGGCGTAGGGTATGAGGCGCCGCTATATCCAGATCACCAAGGTTCGATCCCGCCCCTGTGCTAAACCAAGCCCTTTACCCTCCGGGGCGTTAAGTTGTTATCACAGTAATTTTAAGAAGATAAAAAGCACTGAGTTAGTAATCTGCTGGATCCCGAAAATCATGGAAAAAACTCGCACGCATACAATCGCCTCTTCGACTATGACCTTGTACATACCTCATGCGATTTCAATCGCCACGCGATGTGGCAATTTGCTATATGTCTTCAAATTCAATGCTAGCAGGCTCCAAATGCACATCATGTATACCTTTCGTAGGTTGATAGAATGCCCAATCTTGAAAACATTCAGAAACCCCTTACGATGATTATGAACAAATGGAGCAGTGCCAAATCGCGTCGCGACTGTAATCGCGTGAAGTATGCCAGAGCCTACGTTTTCCATGGTATTCTGGTTGGCGTGTAGGGATGCGCTTTCTGTCAATTTGCTTGCTTTCAAGCAAACGTATAATCGAACTACGACCAGGTTTTAGGTGTTTGTTTCAAACCAGTACCCAATGCACCAACCCAAATACGTCTATTATCATCAATTAATTCAGGTGTTGTTCAACTTCACAAATGCGGCTGCTAAATTTGACAGCTTAGATTGGGAAGACCCGGACTCACCAGATCCGTTCCCAGCAGAGGCAGCAAAGGGATACGATTTTGAAAAAGATCCCCTCGAAGGGAGAGAAGACTACTGGGATTTTGAAAGTGTCGAAATGGTGTAGAAGGCTTCAATAAAAGAATATTTTTGAATAAATTGACAAAATTAATTCCAAGAAAATTGTAACGCAAGCTTTTCACTGACAGTATAAGAAGATGAGGGTTCTTTTATTAAAGTATCGACTGCAGTTGACGAAAGTATTTCTTAGGAGGAGCAATGACCGCACCCAATACTCTTCTGATTGAGTGTTACCTTAAATTGTTTGGCTCAACCGTGATTGTTGAAAACCTTTTACCGACTTACGTTTCGACCAATTCGCCGTTGTCAAAACCTGAATATGACGGCTTAGCATTAAGACTATACCGACGGAATTCTTTTCAAACATCGCAAGAAAATTCAGAAGTTCAAGTAGCGTAGGGGTGTCCTCTCGGGCGACACTCGCCTCTTTCCGTCAGAATTCTTTGGGAGGATCGTGTTGGTGCACGTACACAGTGGACGACACTCCAGAAGATTTGGCCCATACATGGTTTTAGCTCAATCTGTTTGTTTTTGCGACATTTATCCCCATTATGCTATTTATATTACTAGACTAGCACGATATTTATCCTCTGGTCGCCGTCAAAGTTCAGTGCAGATGGATGTTGCGTTTCATCTATCCCTCACAAATACAGTTCTAAGTTGAAACCAGCCCTACGTTATAGCAACTAAGGGTTCTTAAATAAAGATCTAATACATAAGGACTAATGGTAAAATTCTGAAGATAAAGGAATTGCTGGAGATTAGAGGGTTGGACGTTTTTGACAGCATGACCCTGACAGGTAAAAGGGGTAAGGAAATACTTATAGAAAATAGTACATCAGTAACCGCTCGCCATCACTAAAAATCAGTAAGAATCAGCAGAAGTGAGCGGCTTCAAAAGATTCTTTCTGAAAGCAGTTGCGAAACGTTGAGATAATGGAAACTTTCCGCAGTCTTTTAATTCATCCTTCAAAAAACCTCTGGCGACAAATATTGATTACGTTTGTAATTTTAGGAATTGTAATTCTTGCAGTGCTTGGACATAGCGAGTTAAAGAGCGTCAAAACCTGCTTTGAAATCTTGCGAAAGTCGCTGGAAATGTGACCAAGAAAATTGAGCCATATACGGTGCACAGTTTTCATGCAGTTTGTCAAAAGAGGCAAAGTGTACATTACCAAACGTTCAATTATCCGTCAATGGTTATCGACAAGAAAATATGAGAATCGAAGGGTGGTGCTGGATGGCTAGCTTTCATCATTTGTTTCTTTTCTTGTAACATGAAAATCCAAAGGGTTATAAGTGAAATTTTGCTTGAAAAACAAATTGGTTATCTTTATAGAGACCACACATTCCTGCTAGTGAAGAATGTGTGGATTACAAGGAAAACTCAGTAGCAGTCGTCTAGATTCGAAAATTGGATACATTTGAAGAAAATTTTGCTAATGTGACATCCTAGGTAACCTTTGATTCAACTGGATTGGGGTTGGAAGGCGGCGCTTTGTGACCTAATCAAGGCCGTTCACGCCCTCGTCGCATTCTGCGTCTCTCTCGTGCGCATGTTTTGTGAGCATTCTCTAGCCTCAACTAGGTCACGAAGCCCACCTTCCAGCCGCCAATACAGCTGAATATACGGGTAGGTTGCACACTAGCAGGAGAAAGGTTTTGAGCAAATGTTTTGCGCCAATAAAAGCTATAAGAACATCAAAAACGAGAACGAAAAAAGTGAGAGGAAAGAAAAATGGCTAGATGAATGAACCATGATAACATTGAGAATTAACGAATAAGTCTTCTCAAAATTCGACAAATAAATAAACAAGCAAACATCAAACTCACGGTCTCATTCTTCTCATTCTGATTGAATCGTCTCGACCATTCGGTTGGTCGTAGACCTCGAGCCTCTAGAACCCGCACTCGTAGCGTACCAGTGAACAACATCAGAGGTACATCGAGAGCGCTGAAAATGGGCAATAGTTTATGTAACTGGTTTGCGGAATAAATGCATAGACCAACAAACGGACAGGAAAAGAAATTATTGAACGGTGGAAAAGTGGAAAAGAAAAATAAGTGGATAGATGCGACTGTGAACTGTACAAGATTAAATTTCCTTCACTAAATGTATTTGCAGACTAATTTTGTGAAAATTGGAGATAATGCGAGAAAATGGCCAGCAGTGCAATGACGCTGCTATCTACGTTGCTGCAATTGCTCCCCCCCCCCCTCCACATTTTCCGTCCGCTATTTCTTCGAAAGTGGAGAGAAGATGCTCCCCCCTCAGAATGGGATGAGATTTTTGAAAGTGATCTTATGAAAAACAAATATGTAAATGACTTGTCTTCACATTCAATCGATTAAAAAATCCTGACGTTTTCAAAAAATTCGAGTTAGCTTGTAAGGAAATTTTAAAGGTTATGGACCCACATTAGGAACCCAAAATTTTAGAACACGTTGCTGAAATTTTTTCGAATGCAAAAGAAAAAGAAAATTGAATAGGTGATGATCAGAATCCAATTATGAAAAAAGTTTTCAAGGGAGAGTAGAGGTGGCGGGGAAGAGAATAAGACCAACAAATTGGAAAACATAAACGTTGAAAGGCAGGAGAAACAACTAAAAATTTTATGCTCATTTTGAATTACTTCAATAAACTATACTAAAGGAAAATACCATGAAATATAAAGGCGCAAAAAAGAATCTTTGAGGACCCTCCCATCTAACCTCCTCCCCCCCCCCCGCTTTCTCGCCTTCTCTCCCAGGAAAAATTGCCTCGATCCCAAAATGCTCTTGAGAAGACTGCATAATGCGTGAACAGCTGGACGTTATCGACATGGCAAGGCCCCCGAAGGACGTAAGGGCACATCTTATGTGTGGAGAGGCGCGAAAGAAGCAGATTGTGTCATTTCGGACGACGAAGATGGCGACTTTTACCAGGGATGATTGGCTCAAATTTTCGCAGAGAAAGAGGCAGAGCAAGAAAAAATCGGAAACGATGCTTAGGAGCATTCCTATCCAAGGAATAAGGATTTAGGAGCAGCGAAATGTGAGTGGAATCTATTCAAGGAAATGTTTGAAATGAGGAGATAGAGAGATAGAAACGGCGGAGATATCAAAAAAGGAGTAAATATTATCTCAGAAAAAATAGGTAGAGATGATTGGTATGAATTTCAAAGATTCTCAAAAGCTCAGATCAGTCTGTAAAAAATTCTTTTTCTCTCGCGATCATAAAGCCACTAAAAAATCGAGTGGCATTCCAAGAATTTTTTCGGAAGTAGTGGCTCCTCCCCCACCCTCCCAACGAGATATAAACATTTACGACATAGAGGCATGTATATCTATAAGAATTAGACACTTCAGTGATACAAAACTAGCCAAATGCCGCTGGCACCTTGCAACGCCTTTGAAATCGCTGAGAGAGAATGTGGAGAGAAGATACGCAGACAGCTGCAACCGCCGCGCGAACATAGCTGCGACGCGTACAAGCCTGCATCAATCATTAACAACGTTGATATTGGCTGATAGCTTTGGCAGAAATTCTCTTTGTCACGGCAATTTTTTCTTGTATTATTCATCTAGATGGGACCAGCTAATTTTTTTCGATATGGTAAGGTGCTAATGATGAGAATTCTTGAAATAATGCTCATCCCCCTCCCAATCTTTTCGACATTCTCGGCATCCTCCCCTTTCTTCCTTTTCACCTCCCCCTCCGCCCCCCCCCCCCCGTCAACTTTCGTATCTGCCGTTGCCCTTTCTAGCTCTATTTGCCTAGGCTTCAACGCGCACAAAACACGAAGAGATCAAAAGAGCAATCTTACCCGGCTATTAGCCATGCACTAACGATACCCATTTGCCAAAAAAGTGCATGGGTCTTCTCCTCTCCCGTCGAATATGTATAGCTGTGAGCAGAGAAACGCAAAGAAGTGAAAGAGCTTGTCAAATTTTTTCCCCACAGTAATTGCCCTGTGAGTAAGTGATTTGCTTTTATTAAAAGTAAGTGGTAACTGGTAACTGACTAGTAAGTAATTTGCTTTTATTAGTTTGCCATATATGGCGAATGGAAACAACGCGCAACCAGTGGATTCATTAGACTGATATTTTAAAAAAGCAATGAAACCGGAATTTTGTGAAGGAAAAACAATACATTTTGTAAGTCTCAAATCCTACATATGAACACCGCAATAAACTGCAGAACAAATTCGATTATCACAAAATTTATCCCCACTTTAGGACCCCTTCAGCAAATTTCAAGTCTCTACTCAATTTTATTCATTTCCTGGCAAGACCGAGACTTTCGAATATTCCTCCAATATAAACTATCAGAGAATCCTTCCGTCAATGTCAATATATTCATCACATTTCCCTCCTTCTATTTTTTTCTCAATTCTTAGAATACTCGATTTGCATTATTAACACTCCAGGAATGTTAATGACCGTTGACTCCCTCTCCTCCCTCAAAACATTGCCCTTTGTGAGGCCAATTTTTCGATGAAGGTCAACGCTAACTTTTAATTTTGAGAAAATTCTGCTTGAAACTCACGGACAATAGTCTCCACGCCAAAGTTTTCAGACAATTTTCTTGAGATTTCTTAGAAAACCAGAATACCCAAAATGTCGTAACAATAGCTTAATACTTATAGTTCGAAAGATTGATGACAACAAATAGCTGATTTTATGGAAAATGAATAAAGGTTAGATACGGTAGCTTATTTATATCGGCTTTTACCAAAAAATATGGGCAAATCAAACCCAAAAAACAAGATTTCGGTCCCTTAGAATGAAAGATATTGCTAAAGAGAAATTGTCAGTGATAAAAGAATTGGAATAATAATCTCATCCAAAAATCAATTATTTTATCAAGAAAATTTAATTGAAAATGAATATTTCAATGCGGCAGAAGCCATAAAACTATCCTAATTACAACCAAAACTACAAAATTTGTCCTATTCTATGAAACAAGGATTTTCTAAGATGTGAAGAGGTACAGTGATGGACTTACATCATCAAACAGTCGCAAGAATGCTCTAAACTTGTCGAGGTAAGAAAGTAATATCCAAATCAAAATAAATTGTTGACATGAGGATCAGTAATCATAGCAACAAACAAACTTATTATGTTGATGAGCTGTTTTTTCTAGAAATGTTCAAATAGGGAAAAAGAAAGGAAGAGCAATGTTGTGAGGGAAGGGGAAGGATGCATAACTATGTTTATAAATTTCCCGAATACCATGAGAAGCAATTTATTGAGCGTACGATTGGAAGACTCAACATTCACTTTCCGGCGCCTGCTTTTATACCGAAATTTGTCGAAAGATAAATGACGAGTTCTTTAAAAAAGAATAGTTGATGATCAAGAATAGTAGATTATCAGTAAGAACGGGAAAAATTTCCGAAAATAGAAAGTACGTGATTTTATCACAAATATGATGTAAGATGATGAATTTTTATTGAAAAAATAAGAGGTTGTTCTGAACAATCCACACCTTGAGTGCTCACTGAATGGTTTACTTATGCGCCACTCTAATGTTCCGAGCGTTACCATTCAGTTTGTGATATACTATAAAGAGTTTGATATCTGAAATCTTTACCTTGGGCAGTTTTTGGCATTGAGAAGGGTCATGAAAGTTCAGAGGGTTGAAAGAATGTACAATGTGAAATTATCGTTTTGCAGTAGATAAATGAATTTCTCGAATTTCTAATATTCACAAAGCAATAATTCATTCTATCTCCTCTTACAAATCATAACCTCTGGTCATAAAAAATATTTTGTCAGAAGAAGGATTATTTCATGTGCAATATAATAGTCCATATAGCTCTAGAATAATGGTAGAAGGCCAAAATGCGCGGAGCGTAACCTATTTTCAATTTCTTTTGTGGCCTTCCCTATGACAATCAACAATCAACAACTAGAACAATCAAAGACTACGACCAGGTCAACCTGCTACCGTACATCTACCGTATCATGACACATCAAAATAGAGCATTATAGAAGAAACTCGTGTCGATAAAGCGTTCACAAATTTTTTGCTGATTCAGGTAGAGCGCCAATGAGAAGTTTGAGCGATGAGAACTGGTAACGGGCGGGGCGGGAGGAAGGAGAGATAAGAGTTTAGAAATAATTATTAAGTAAGAGTGTAAGAAAAATGGTGTGAACCAGCTAGATTTGGAAGAATACCTAAAAAATAAAAGGTTATTAAGATTTAGATTTTCATTCATAGATGAAATTTTCGGAGGCTGAATAACGGTTTTGCAGTAATTTGCTGTAGCAAGGAAAGTCTAGTTGTAAGTGAAAATATTAGGTTGGCTAAAAAATAATTTCGGTTGTTTATAATGGTTTGTAGAATATTAAATTGATTGATTATTTTTTCAATAATTTTACGGAAAAAGAAAGAAAAATGATATCGGCTATCCATGCGTTATAAGTAGGATTCGCCTTTCCAGCTGTATCCGAAAATAAACCCGAAAGAGAAACTAGACACCCGTTCATCATGTAAAAACGCCATCTCTACTTATCCCTAGCTTTTACGGTTTATTTATGACTGCCTATCGCGACCAAACTATAGAGAGGCGCTTGAAAGATTGCAGCACAAGAAAGTTCACTGGGTCCTAGGGTAAAGCGCGTGAAAAGCGCGAATAATGACTCAATGGTCTTCTCCGAAGGAACCACAGTTCTCTTCGGACACCATCATGTGACTAAAGCTTTTTGTCTGAGCTGCAAGGCAAACGGAACCCCGGAGGGCGAAGTGAGTCGTGGAGAAATTAGACTGAAGAAGCGTGATGCAAATTTTACCTGAAAAGAGTAGCATAGCGAATCAAAATATAAGGCTTCAAATCAAAAGGACTGAAGAAAGTTTATAAGACCTTAAATTTATCCATATACCCTATAGGAAGTGTAAAAAAGACCGCGATCTTGGTGCGATATCGCACGATCAAGCACGATAGGGGGGGGGGGGACGATATCGCACTC